CAGCCGCTCTCATCATCGCCTTTGCCGCTCTCAAGGACCACAACCCCAACCCCTTTGGAGACCGCAGAGCTTACCGCCTCAGCAACCGAACCCTGGTCTCTGCTAAGAACCTCTTCAGAGCTCAGTTTGAGAACCACCGTGGGCACTTTTATCTCAGGCCGCTTGAACCCACCAGGGAACAGGGTTCTAAGTTGCTGTTGGCTGCTGTTGTCGTTGGGATTGCTGATGGCATTTATTAGATGGTGGTGGTGGTGGTGGTGGTGGTGGTGGGTTTTTCTTTTGAATCGACGAGGGGAAACGGAAACTGGGTTTTGGGGTTTGTTGTTGGGATCGGGGAGGAGAGGGAGTTTGGGGAGGCGAGAGGCCAATGAAGTGTAGTTGCAGAGAACGGAGACCATGAGAGGCGAGAGGAAAGAGTAGATGAGAGTGGGATGTCGATGATAAGTTGGCTGTTTGTATCTTGAGATGACGGTGATGTACGGGACTTTTCACTCTTCTTTCCTCTCTTTTATTTTATTTTATCAAAATGGGTAAAACTTAAGAGTTTAACTGGATCACTGGTCACTAAATTTATCTCGTAATCACACGAGCTTATGCTTATATTTTAATGCGAATAACACATTGATGCAACTGATATATAAGAACATATTCTTTTCCACACTCCAGCAAAAAGCCACAAAATTGAACTCTCCCTTTCGATGATATAACGAAGGGTGATAGAAAGGCATCAGTAGATTTGAGTTTATTTCATGTATTTTGCCCAGTCATCAGACGCAAGGTTTATCCTCAAATTAGGGCTCGTTTGCTTCCCAAGGTTTATAAAGGAAGAAATAGTAGAAATAACACCTTTTATATTTACTTCATATTTTTTTTAGAGTAGCGGAAATAGCTCTTCTTATTCTTCATACCCTTTTTTCGATGGTAATAAAAAGTTGTTAGGAAGTAACTAATAAAAAAAATATTAATAAGAAAAAATGTTTATTTCCTAGGTGATGCACATTTCACCTATTTCTAGACTACTTCTAAGCCTTGACCAGCCAAAATACATTAAGGAAGTGGTGATGACATGTATGCACCACATCAGTGTTTAAAGAAGTATTGAAAATAGCTCTTTTAGATAATCAAACATGTTTTTTTTTTTTCAAGAATAACATAGTCTCAACTTTTTAGTCCGGCTACTTCATAATTAATAATTACTTCTATGCAAAGGAACATACCCTTATGGTAATATAAAATAAGTGGAAATGAGTACATTAATCCAAGGTTTACAACTTCTGCGTAAAAAAGAACCCAAGGTACATACACGCTAGATCGATCGTCGTAAATGTTTTGACAGCTGTCCCAACAATTGACATTTGCAATTTACAATCCTGAAAATACCATTTACTGCGGAAATTGACTCAACATAAAAACCCTACAAACAATTTTCTACATAGTGGAAAATTGGAGTAATGAATTTCGACTTGAGCACCTTGCCTCTGTATTTCACCTGTACATGCTTATATGAAAGGAAAAGAACCACATGAAGAGGCACAACACATCTGCATAAACTTTTGCAAGACCATACCCAGGAGAAAGAAAAGGGAAAACAAAAAGCTCACTGTCAATAGCTTCAGAGACCATCAACAGAAAATGGCAGTCGCATATTTCAGGTGTGGCTGAGCGCAGCCTGAGACTGAAAACTTTCACAAAATGATATTCCTTGACATCAAAACAGTTGTGGATGCACGGGGGATAAATGTAGGAAGAAGATAGCGAAAAAAAAAGGGTTTAGAATCCAGAACTAATAGACATGAGATACAGAAATGTCATTCAAGAACAGGTAGGTAGAACAACTGATAAGCCTCCATGACTTCAAGATGCCACATTGCCTCTCGGTCAGGGTATGGTGTCAGGTCGACGATCTTGTGAACCTACAATTGACATTATATGACCTGACGTAAATGATCATGGCATGCTTATTTGCCAAAACAAAATGATTGAAGAAGTAATTAGGAACTACAAACGTAAGGATTCAGAGTGTTTATTTGCTTATTTTTAGTGGGGGGAGCATGACTGAAGTAAACACCTAATATACAAGCGGCGCGAAATTTTAAAAAAGGAGAACGCCTTCTAGATTTCTCACAGTGCTAAACAACAGAGTCCTGATAAATTAAAGAAAGAAGGCCATTTCGGTACTGTATGAAATCTAGAACCATAACAACACAAACACATTTTAAGAACATACAACTTTGCCTATCCAAGAGATAGCAAGTTATCATCTGAGACAACTTTGTGTATTAATCCCACAACAACAGCAAACACCCATGTCCGAAGTCATCTCCAACATCATGTTGGTAGCTAAGCCTGTGCTAAAATATTTTATCAGGTATGAGATTCTTACAGTTTTTTTCCTCAGCATGTTTGTGGCTTAAAAGAAGCATTGTTTTATCTCAAACTTTCCACAGGCTGTAGATAGGAGGGTGCAACTTAGGTAATTGCCCATGTCCGAAGTCATCTCCACAACAACATGTCGGTAGCTAAGCCTGTGCTAAAATATTTTATCAGGTATGAGATTCTTACAGTTTTTTCCTCAGCATGTTTGTGGCTTAAAAGAAGCATTGTTTTATCTCAAACTTTCCACAGGCTGTAGATAGGAGGGTGCAACTTAGGTAATTGCCCATGTCCGAAGTCATCTCCACAACAACATGTCGGTAGCTAAGCCTGTGCTAAAATATTTTATCAGGTATGAGATCCCTGTAACGTTAGAATTCTTCATCTCATATACTTTGTTGACTTACTTTGGGGCGTTTTGTCAGAGAAAATTTTCTCAGATTTTCTTTCTTTTATTTAAAAAATTTTATAAAAGTGGAAGGTTTGAAGAAGGAGAATTTTTCTAAAAAGACTCTTTTTAAAAATAATTAGCAAAAACAACACTTTTTGCTAAATAATTAGCAAAATCAACCTCTTTTTGGCCAGCTCATCAAGATTAACCAAAAAGGCTAGCCAAAAAGAGGTCGATTTTGCTAGATTTAATGTTAAAAATACACGAGACTACTAGTCCCGTGTGTTTAGCATCACTAATCACATCTTAAGCCTAGCTGATCAGAAAACACATGAGACTAGTAGTCCCGTGTGTTTTCAACCGCATCTTCCACCCATCCACACCCATCCATTTAGCAGCATCTTCCACTAAAAAATTAAAAACTTTCCAAATCAAGAATCCTCACCACACCCAAAACCCAGACTTCATCTAACCATCCAACACTCAACACGTGTGTAAAAATATTCGGCTCCACAAAATCAACGTGCATGTAAAATACCGGAAGCCTGCTGCTCTGTACATCACGTTATCACTGTCATCGCTCTAACAACATGCAACTATAAATACATGAGACTTTACCTAAAGCTAGGACACAACAATCATTCAGTAACTCAAACCTCACACTACCCACGAAAATGTTTCCCTCCCTCTATCTCCTCCTCACCGGAGCTATCTTCCTCTCTCATCAACACAAGTCTCTGTCGCTCCCCCAGGCCCCACTGGCCTCCTGATAATCGACAAGCTCCACCTCCTCGGTCGCCACCCCAACCGTAGCCTCGCCGCCCTAGCGGCCAAGTACGCCCCATCTTCCACTTCCGAATGAGATCCATCCCCACCATCCTCGTGTCCGACTCCACCACCATCGCCCACTTCCTCAAGTCCCACGACGCCACCTTCGCCAACTGGCCCCCTTCGAGGTCTTCAAGTCCACCGCCTACAGCCTCAAGGGTTTCGCCTTCACCCCCTTACGACGACTACTGGCGTCGCGTCTGCAAGCTCTGCATCACCCACATCCTCAACGGCCCCAAGATCGCCTCCCTACGGACGGTGCGGACAAAGGAGACCGATCGGCTCATCCAGACCCTTGCGACCGCGAGGGAGACGCGGTCGGCAGTGAATTTGCATCATGTGGGATCTGGTGCATGATGTTGTATCGAGAACGATTGTGGGGAGGAGGTACGAGGCTGGGGATGAGGAGAGGGATAAGTTCAAGGCGTGCACTAAGGAGCTTATGGCTTTGCTCAGGTCGTTCAATGTTAATGATTTTCTTCTGCTGCTTAAGCCATTCGACGTGCAAGGGTACAGGAAGAGGATGTATAAGCTACATCTTGAGTTCGATGACGTGCAGGGGTATAGTCAACTATGGGGCCTATGCTCTTCAACACTCTCGACAACCCACGTGATCTCCGCACCATATACACACCTATGTGTTGCGTCCTCCCGCAACGTCACAGGTCCATTCAGAAAACTTATACTGGGCAGAAAACACACGGGACTAGTAGTCTCGTGTGTTTTCTGAGTTGTGCTACTTACTGTCACGCCCCAAAACTATAACGGATATTCATAAATGTAGGTTACGCGACAGCAGCGACCCACGCACAAGACAAAGTCTTATGCACAAGTCCAACCTGGCACTTCATATCACACAGTTTATCTCAAAACATTTATAAACCTACTGATGATAGAAGTTCAAAGCAACTATATGTATGTATATAATCGGTACTTACAAGCCAAAAGTATAGTATTGATATTTAACTTTTCAGTTCATACACATATGCGAGTACATGAGTTTTATTAGTTTACCCTTTTGGTGTATATAGGACTTTTGGAGATAATTAGCGAACGCTAAACACTAAATTTTGCAAAATCAACCTCTTTTTTGTCATCCTTAGCCAGCCTACCAAGGCTGGCAAAAAAAAGATCAATTTTGCTAATTATTTAGCAAAAAGGATATTTTTGCTAATTATTTTTTTAAGAAACGATCTTTTTTGAGAAAAAAAAATCCTTTGAAGAATTCAAATCAGAAGGGCTCGGAAGATGTTATTGACGCATCATGCCTTTTAATGATGTTGATGATCGTGAGATACCTTGATTAGGGCAGGGTCATCGGCCGAAGCGGGAACGTACAATCCAACGACCATCACATACAATCCTAGATGCGTAAGGATATGAGATGAAAAGAAATCAAAATCGCTAGTAATTAAATAAATAAATAAATAGGGGGAAAAAATTACCTTTTTTCCAATTGTGAGGGCTAGACTCGTTGGCGAGAGAGAGCTCAACGACATCGGAGCCGTCGTCAATAAGGAAGCGGCCTTCCTCAGAACCAGAAACAAGAACGCCCTAACTGAACCAAAACTGAAATCAGATAATGACAATAATAATAAAATTCAAAAGAAAAGATGGGAGCTTTAGGGTTCGTTAAGGGGACCTGGATCCAAGCGCGTTGGAAGAGGATGCCGAAGAGAGACATTGAGGGAGGAGTGGAGTTGGTCTTCCGAGCATCCCTGAGTTGACGACACGTCACCTTCAGCGCTGCCAGCTTGTAATCCATTATTATCAGGCCAACAAGAAGCGGGGAGAGGGGGGAGAGGGACAGAGTAGTAGAATTCAGTGTGGGCTGTTGGAACTGACACCTATTTTTTTATACTTATCAGGCTCCCTTGGCCCACTGGCCTTTGCTAAGATAAGAATGATAGACTTGGATCGGCCCACCTCCCTTGCGTGACCGGCAATGTAGGGGGAAAAAATGAATTGGATCATTAGTTATTTTTAAATCCTTTTCCTTCAATTTTGAGCAATAAAGCTTAACTCAATATTTCCCGAACAAAATATCAAATGCAATATAATTAATCAATACACATTGTTCAACATGTAACAATTTTATTTTCATAAGTCATGAAGATATTATGCATAGGAATAAATCGGTTATGTCAAATGATCGAGACTTTTTTTTTAAATCACATCAGTAAATATGTTAATTGGCGGAAAGCATTACGAGTGATTAACAGTTCAATTCATATTAAAGTACATGATCAGTCATCTAAGCCATTAAAGCATAAGTATGAACATTCAATTATGAGATGTTATGGTATTCACCATCCGTCCGAGTATAATTTATTTACCAAGTGTACATCTGTGAGTCCTGCCCCCAATCAACTTGATGGTCAGATATTAGTAAGAATGACCACTCCGTCAGCTCGACCGCTCGGCATCCTATCATGTCGACTCGAAAAGCATAAATTATCGTCCCCTTCTGTCGAAGACGACTCGTTACGAGTCCACTTGACCATTCGCCGAACGACTCGGAAGGCGCTGCTCCTCGATTAGATTAAAATGATAAGTATTTGCCTCGGGTCTCCCCCTTAAGGCCACATGTTAGCACCACAATCAGCTCTTGACAAGTCTCATCGTGGCCTTAACCCTAATAGTCTCCATGACTTGTCACATCGTCTGGGCTCTGCTATGTCGCTAGATCATTCTCCATTCGATGCTGAGACGATCTCTTCAACGCTGAAGTGATCTCTCCACCAGTCGCCAGCTGACAATTGTAAAGGAGGTGCTAATGCAGCCATCGGCCCATACCTCGTCATCGCCAGAATACCCAATCTACCCTTCTCCCACCATATGTATAGAGGTATTATTCGCCTTCTCAAAGGGAGGCTTTTCCAGAACCCTAAGTTCTATTCACACTCAAGTTCATCAACTAACTTGATCATTGGAGGTACAACGGGGGAACCAGTCCTCGTCCTCTCACGAGTTTCTACGTGTGCAGATTTATCAGCTCCCCAATTCAAGAACTAGACATAAAGTCGGAGAAGAAGGTGATCCCATCATCAATCCTCAACAACCTCATCCTGCCCTGAATATATATTGACTATGTGATCACTAGTACATCAACATGAGATAAAGTCAGTGACTAGTGACCTAAATTAGCCCTTAAAATCAGATTTTTTACCCTTTTTGATAATAAAAAAGAGAAGAAATATGAATATCTCATTTACTAATTCTTGATTTTCAAACGGAATTTAACAAAATATATAAAAATAAAAAACTTTGGGGTTTGACTCTTCTGCTTAGAAGCCTAATAGATTAAAGGGCTTTTTGTTTTTAGGTCCATTTGTTTACCTACCTTTATCTTTAAACCCAAAAATTATTAGTTGTATCTTTAAACCCAACTTTTTTTTGTATTTATCTTTAAACTCAATTCCAAAATATAACACTCTCATATGTGAGTCCCCCTATATAAGGAAATTGGGTTTAAAGATAAATGCAAAAAGAAAGTTGGGTTTAAAGATAAAACTAATAATACTTGGGTTTAAAGATAAATCTAGGTAAACAAATGGACCTAAAAACAAAAAGTCCTAGATTTAAAATGCACCTATTAGGTTCCAGTCGAGACTCAGGGCCCGTTTGGTTGGTTTCCTAAAAATCAAGAAAAGGAAATCGGTACAAGGAAATCAATAAAAAAATATTTTTACCCATTTTCATCCTTAAAACTCACCCACAACATCTAATAAAATATTATTTTTATCTTCCAACTCATCTCATTTCATCTCCTTTCTTACATTTAAAAATAAACCAAACACAAGAAATGTGTCACATCATCCAACTCATCACAACTCATCTTATCCCATTTTTAAAAATCACACACATCATCCAATAATATTGTGACAACTCATCTCATCTCATTAAACATTCCTTTCCATCCATTTCCTCAAAAAAAAACAAGAAATTGGTTTCCTTAAGTACGTGTCACATCATCCAATAATATACCTCCAACTCATCTCATCTCATCTATTTTCCTATTTTTAAAAACGAACCAAACACAAACAACTTCAAAACATCATCCAATAATATACCTCCAATTCATTTCCTTATTTTTTTAACCAACCAAACAACCTCAAAACATTTTTTTTTAAAAATCACTCACATCATCCAATAATAAGTTGACAACTCATCTCATCTTATCTCCTATTCTACAATTTCTTTCTTTTTTAAACCAACCAAACAACCTCAAAACAAATATTATAGGAAATAGGTTTCCTATTCTTTGATTTCCCAAAAAAAAATGGCCAAACGAACAGCCCCTCACTAGCTAGTTTAAAGCAGAAAAGTCAAGGAGATAGAATTTTCATTATTAGGGCCAACATATAACCTAGATATCAAATTGGTGGGATTTTTTCTTTTCTTTTTTTTTTGTTGGGGGTTTGGGTTGCCACCGTGCACGAGCTGGTCCAGTCCAAACCATAACAAAGTTTTGACTTTTCTGCTTTGAACTAACTAGTTAGTCTCGATTGAAACTTATTTAAAAGAAAATAGATATATGCTGTCTACATGAATTAGTATCACCTTCTGAGCTTGGATATCTTAATTGACATAGTAATTATCATTTGCCATCGAATAGTATGATTTCATTGTAATTATTTTTAAGCATAACCAATCTAAAAGGATAAAATATCTTATGAGCTCATCTTAAATGTCATATCATAGTTATCATTTTCCTTAGTATAGTATGGTTTCATTGTAATTATTTTTATGCATAACCGATTTCAAAAGGATAAAATATCATCACTTAGCCTTACGAATGTACATTTAATTTAATTAATTTAATTGGAGTTCCATAGATCTATTTTTTTAAAAAATTAAGGGTGTAAAAAAAAAGTTTCCCTTAATCAGAGCTACAGATTAGTCTGCGTAAAAATAGTTTGACAGTATAAAATATGGATATTCTTTTGGAAGCGATTACATGCTAACTGTTATGCTTAAAATCAATTGTTAACATTTGGCACATCAAAGATGTTAAGATTTGTCCTCAATCGTTATATAAATGGTTAATTTCACAAACCCCCCTGAACTTTAGGTGCTATTGCATATAACCTCTCTGAACCTTGTTTATCTCACTTAACTCTCCTGAACTATGGAGTGTATCACAAAACCTTCCTAAACTTTACTTTATCTCACATATAGCCCCATGTCTGTAATTTGTAAACAACTAAAATTTTCTTGAGAGAAAAACCTCAAATTTTTGGGAAGGGGGTATCTCGCATGTAAACAACACGTGACAAAATCTAAGATTTTTTCAATCAAAAATATTTTAATTATTTGTAAATTACATGAAGGAGAGTTATATGAGACAAGATAAAGTATAGCGGGATATTACGACACATCCCATAGTTCGGAGGTTATGTGAGATAAATAAAGTTTAAAAATTAACCCTTTAATAATAGTTTCAAACAGAAAAAATAAAAGAAAAATTCCTCAAGGACCCAAAATATGGGACTAATAGAGGGGACAAGTGAGGTGTCTCCCTCCTATTGGATAATGAGTTGGTCATCATTAATGATGGCCAACTCATTATCCAATAGAAGGGAGACACCTCACTTGTCCCCTTCATTGGTCCCATATTTTGGGTCCCTGTAGCAAAGCTCAAAATAAAAATAAAATAAAAACAGGAGAGAGAAAGAAAGGGAGACCAGGGAGAGAGAGAGAGAGAGAGAGAGATTCTTTACTTGAATGTGCGTAAAATCATAATAATCGTAACCGTAATCTCACTCAACAAAAGCCAAAAAGAGGTTTAGTCCGAGATTTTTCTCTAGTCGAGACAGTCGTTGTATCAAACACTGAAGTTGCGGCCGCTAATGAAAGACACGGTCGCCACGGCCCGCTGCTTGAGGGTCACGTGGACGGTAGTAAAGGAGGAACTTCGGTGTTGTGCGTTTCACAGCAACAGCCAATCGCGCGCTTGAACAGCTTATCATACAGCTATGATCACGAGGAGCTGCATGTGCACCGCCGACACACAATATGTGGTTTTAGGATGGCCGCCATCATGTCACTTTCAGTCCACAGCTCTCAACCCTTTTTCCATCCATGCCCTTCAATCTACTATCTCTGCCCTTTACTTCAAAAATAAGTCTAAATTGCACTAAAACACCTTATATTTCGCTCATTTGGTATTTACATACTCTCAAATAATTTTCGAAGAAATTCAGAATATGTTTAGATTAGAATATAGGTATGATTAATAGTAAATTTAACAAATATCAGTGACTAAAAAGCTATAAAATTAACAGCACATTTAACAAATATTAATGTGTAAATGTTATATAGGAACTTCCCTGTGAAATTTTTTACGTTTACATAATAGATGGTGCTAAAATGCTAACAAAACTCATAGTATATAAAAATCATCTGAAAAATAACTAAGAGTATATATATATATATATATATATATATATGCTAAATGAGTGAAACATAAGATTTTTTTAGTGCAGCTTAGCCTTACAAAAATATCAACTACGTACCATGTTATTTTTGGCCTACGTCCGAATACCCATTACAAAACTATCAGTCCCGAGCGGGGATTTTATAAGGGAAATAATTAAATTTGGGAAAGCAAGGGGTAAATTCCAGTCTTAATCTAAGATGGCCTTAGTTTGAACGTCTGATTCAACTGATTGAATCAATCAAAAAAATTTATGGTTAAGCTCAGTTTTGAATATATGTTGATTTGGTTTGAAAATTTTCAATCTAAACCGACCATTCTTTTTCATTCGGGAAGCTCTTCCGCATTAATTGTTTGATGCACATGAATGTAGTCAAATGAGAATGAAATGAATGTAGGAATGGAATGAAATTGATGTGGGAATGAAATGTTAATTTTCATTCTCGTGTTTGAGTGCGATTAGAGAATTAAATGAGAACATCTTTAAGAAGAGTATATCCGAAATTTAGTTTGTTAATTATTTTTGTTCTCACTTAAGTGAAAATACCAATTCATTAGTAACAACAACTCCCACATTAAATGGGAATTGACGAAAAATATGAATGACATTTCTAGTGTCTAAGAATACATTATATTTGATAAATATAAATAAAAATTTTGAATTACGTTTCATTCTCACCCGTTCTTTTTCTTTTTCGTTTGGTCCATGACTTATAATCATGCCTTTTTAGGCAGTGGCATGGCCTGTAGTTATGAACATAAATCAGGGCTTACTTATATTACGGAAAACAAAAGATATTCCCTCACCACCTCTCTACTAGTTAGCATAATTTCTCTCGCCTTTTTTTTTTCTTCTTCTTCTTCTTCCTCCCTCCTCTCTTCTCTTCTTCCCTGAGACTCTGAGAGCGAGGACACCATCTCTTTTCCTCAGATCATATCGCAATTAGCAATGGAACATAAAAACTCTATCAATATTCCCTTCTTCTTGCTATTGTTCTCATCCCTTCTCTTGGCGTTCTTCTTCGATTCTCGAAGCGTGGAGGGGTACAAGAACTACACGGTCGGCGGCTCTCTGGGTTGGTTTGACAGCGTCAAAGCTCCCAAGATCGACTACAAAAAGTGGGCTGCTGCCAAAGACTTCGCCCTCGGTGATTTCCTCAGTAAGTCGATGCTCGATGATCACTTAATTGCTCTAATTAACTCCATCTTCGATCGTGTATATATATATAGAGCTTAATTAATTGTTAACTTGTTAATGTTTGTCCTTAGAATATATTAATGGGAAATTATAATTATCAGAATTAAAACAGAAACTCCCCGCTATATATAAATTAATTATGATTTTGCTCAATTCCATCCATGGGAGATTAATTTAGTTAATTGAATTCCATGCATGACTACTAGTGTACTGATCAAATTACGTTCCGGTTTGAGCCACTGTTAATCAAGTACAGGCTAACAAATTAAATGCATTTTGATCATCTCCTTAATTAACTTGGAGGCTGAGATGGATCGAAATTGCTGTCTTGATTGTTAGAATGAAACAACCAGCGTTAATATTTCTTTTTTTTATCACTTAACAAAAGAAAACTATATATTATAATTATCAATTAATTAACCACGGGTAATTAGATCTTGATGCTCCGTTACCCGGACCCCTGTTTGTACTTGATGTTTTAATTTGTCTCCTCTGATATATATAAAAGAGGACAATTAATCAACAGCTTTATGTATATTTTATGTTCTCAGTAGGTCAGATCGAAGTGGTGGCAGAGCTAATTAACAACCCAACAGAAAATACCATCTATGATTGAATTGAATTAATGTATATACATCATGATTGCATGATTAAGTAATCAGACCGTTCCTGGTGATCGAGAAGTATATATACCTCGAATACGTACGGAATGAACAAAAAAAAAATTATGTTGATTAACTACCAACATCGGAGGAGTGTTAAGTTAAATTCTCTCCGTGGAAGTGTATAGATTACGTACCTAATTAATTAAATCACGTACGCCTAATACTATATTTTTAGTAGTGTTATCATGTGGTGTGCCTCAAGTGTTGTTGATTGATTCCTAGGGTTGTGCTAATAATTGCGGCAGGCTGGAGACCACATGCACGATACACAGCACCATGCGTGTATAAGAGGTAGGGTTGCTAACCATCGTTTTCATTTTCTTCTTTACTTTAGGAAAGAAAGCGTAATTAAATTGAGTCACAATATACTTGGAAGTGAAGGCCGAACATTCTTGGCGAAGGCTCATTTTACTTTTGCCAACTCCAAGCCCAACCCATTTGCTTCTTGGGCCTTGATTACACCTACATGCAGTCCGTTTGTAATAAAGTAAATGGGTGCGTCCTGGCCTTTAATTAATGAAGTGGTCCAGCTGGTACAATAACAAACAACTACTACGACCTTCACCTACATACGTCTCTTTTACATTTCACAAATACCTTCGTTCACCTGCAGGAACGTTCAAAAACATAGTCAATATGCTTATTATTCTCAAACACTAAAAATGATCAAAAACTTATATAACGGGTTAGTAATTTAGTCTTTCGGATTATCTAATGGGCTAACTATGTTAATCCTCCTCCTTAATCTCTCTTCGTTAACCCTTTACCAACCGAGGCCTTAGGTTTTTTTCAAAAGGATAACTCTTTAGTGGTAAATTGCCTCATTTTCACTTTAACTTCGGTAGCATTTATCACTCATTCGACTATTCTACCGCTCATGTATTCACATTTTGAGAAGGGTCGGTTTTGTGTTGGTAAATGCTAAATGAATTGAGGGGAGATAATTACTAACGAAAGATTAGAGGATTATATGAAATTTACCCTTTCATTAATAAAAGATATTAAAGGTTCCTCCTCACTAAACCAAAATCTTTAAAATTATGGTGATAATTAGGGTTAGTAATTTTTTTTTCCGATATAAAACAATTACAACCAAAATTAAGTTATTTTCTTAACATAGTATCAAAACTATTCAGGTTCAAAACCCGTTGACCATGAAGTTTATACTCTAACGAGGATTAAAATTTTGAATCCTACAATTTTCCTAATGTGATGAGAATACTGATGTTATGTATGTTCCTTCTATAGTTTTCAACACGGACAAGAACCACTCGGTAGTCCAGACCTACAATGAGACCACCTACGAACACTGCGACTACAACGACGCCTGAAGACGACGGACACCGTCGATTGGTCCGCAGGTGAGCCGACGTTCGCAACTCGGGCCGTGACGATCGCAGTGTCCCCTTGGTGAGACGAAGGCTAAACTTACTTCTTCTCCAGCAAACTACGAAGGGCGAGCAATGCGAGCACGGGCAGCAACTTTTCATGATCAGGCGTCAGCAGCGGCCAAGGCTTGGCCTCGCGAGTCTCAGGGCTTCCGTTCCGCGGCATCACCGGCTGCCCAATGCGGCCTGATTATGTTCAATTTCCGGTAGCCAGACACGGTGGTTCCGTTCTAATTTTGATCATCCCAAGGGAAGCGGTTGGCTGATGCGTCGATGATAGGTGATTGTGAAGCGCCTAAGTCGGAGGGTGGGTATGAATGAGGGAATTAGGTTTGGGTTTTGGGTTGGCGGGTTTTTCCTTGTGTTTGATTGTGGTGGTTTGCTTTTTGAATGGTTTTGTATAAGATTATATAATATATATATATATATATATCTATATATATAGAGGGAATATGGCGTGTACTTGCGGCCAAGGATGCGCTTTGGTATGATGTTGGACAGCATCTTTTGTCCATACATTCACAGCCTTGGAGTTGGCTGAGGGCTGCCTATCTTCAAGGTGCTTGATGTATGGACAAGATGTGTCTCACATCACTACCAAGGATCCTTGGTACCAAGTATACCCCATTTTTTCATGAAATAAAAATTATATATATATATATATATATATATATATATATATATATATACTATATAATTAATATATATATATATACCTTATATATATATATATATATATATTAGGTCATTTGTTTATTTACTAGATAAATAATGGATCCATGTGATATAGTTAAGAGTGTGAGAATGGATGCATGTAAACTAGAAGATATTTGGGCTTTGAAGTTAATAAGATGGATATGTTTTGGTTATGGTCGTTTGGTCGAGAATTTTGGAATTTGGAACTCACGCCAAAATCAAAAATCAGCGGAATGTGAATATTTCAATTTTGAGCTTGATGGATTCGGATCCTCCCCAGTGGCGTAGCCAGGAATTTTTTTTGCCCTGGGCGAAAAAATAATCCTGGCTGGCGATAAATCCCAAGGCGCAAACATCGGCGAAGGAGATGACTCGTCCTCCTGCTCCTCCGTCGTCGGAGTCGGCATAAAACCTAGCTTTAAGCGGAGTGCGGTAAAAGACTGTTGTAGGAACTCAAAGGGATTGTGTCGAGTAAGAGGAAGTAGAGGAGGCCGATGTTGACAGTTGTGTCGAGCACCGTCAGGCTATACTTTTTATTTGTGTTACTATTGTTTAATCTTTTACAAATAAAACGACACTTTTATATGTGTCATAAATTAAATGCGGACACATACAGCTTTTGTTGTAGTGCTCATAGCTTCTTTCCATTGTCCTCGAGTAGAATGACCAAAGATAATACAAGTATAGGTATTGCAAAAAGTAAATCTTAGATAGCATTATACATCGGCCCTTGTTTGCATAGAGCGCCATGTTGTAAGTGAATGCGTCAGGCTCAACATCCCATTGTATTTTCATCTTCTTCTCTCTCTCTCTCTCTCTCTCTCTCTCTCTCTCTATATATATTTAGCGGAGAGACTATTATGTTATCACAATCATTGACTCTCCCATTGATAGTTGAGATTTTTCTTTCGGTGCAAATTAGGGATAATTATAATTATTTAGGTCCCGTTTGGCAAATGGTTAATGAAGAGGGGTTAAGGAGAAGGATTAATGTACTTAGCCCATTTGATAATCCGAAGAACTAAATTATTAACCGGTTAAATAAGTTTTATTTTAGCCCTTATGATCAGTTTTAGTGTTTGGGAATAACAATGATTTTGACTATTTTCTTTATAATTAGAAGGGTTAACTCTTATTCCATCTAAATAGGAGTATTAGTAAACCTCTCATTTTGAGGGGTTAACTCATTTTAATCCTTCTAGAGGGGTTAACTTAAATTTTCTATATTTTTTTTTGTTTGGCAAATTATGGAGGATTAACTCACTTTAACCATTATATAGATTTTTTTTGTTTGCAGGGTTAAGAATGAGTTAAGTCTCCTTAACCCCTCACTTAACCCTTTGTCAAACGGTATCTTAGGGCGTATGTTAAAAACAATGAATTTTACATACGAACCACACTTACTTTTAGTAAAATTAATGAATACTACTTATCAAATTTTTTATGAAAACCACTCTTTTTTACTTGAATGTTGTGGCGAATTCTGTTGATATTTTTTTACTCGACCAGTTATTCGACGCCTTGCAAGGTCGACTCGAAATGCGTTACTTTTCGGCCAAGTTAAAGGACGACTTCAACCCCAAAGCTCTCCCACTGATAGCACGTCAGCATCACATTTAATGCTTGCCAGACACCATTATTTCTCTAGCCCCGATAGCCTTCATGACTTATCGGACCACGTGGGCACTATCATGCCCCTGATCACTTCACATTTAATGCTTAGGTGATATCTCCTCCACTCGCCGATCGGCACGTGTAAAGTAAGTGCTCACACAGCCGCCAGCCCATACTTAGTTACCGTCATCATGTGCTCGGTCGAAGTGGCCGTTCTATCCCTTATACCACAAGTATAAATAGATGTATTATTCTCAATAAGGGAATACTTTTTTGGATATTTTTCAAGCTCTTTGTAGCTATTTTAATGTTATCTTAAGCAATTCCACTACACTAAAGAACTTAGCAAGTTCTTAATTTTCTCACTCAAGTTCATCAGCTGGCTTAATCGTCGGAGGTACAACGGGGGAACTAGTACTCGTCATCTCACGAACCGTTATTTGTGCAGGCTTCAGTTACTCAACTCAAAACCATATATTCGGATAAGTGAGCGGCCCATCATCAACCTCATCCCATATATATATTGACTGTGTGATTATTTACCAACAACACTATCCTAAAAGACTCTACGATTGAGGAAAATTATCCCAAGAGACTCTGTGAATGAGGAAATAATTCGATTATATTTAAGATCAAACTGGGTAGGTACCCTCGTTGAACATATTTCAAGTTTTATTACCAAGATACCACAACGTCTAATATCTCTCAAATTGGAAAGAAGTTCGTGACTGAGCGTCATGAGCCAAACTTCAGTCAATTTTTGCCGGGTGTCTAAGATGGATGATTTTTGTCGGCATTTATGGAAGTTTTCTTTGTAAAACGACCAAGAACTGGGCCTCAGTAAGTCCCAATTCTAGCTTTGGCCCATGTCTAGAGCATTGAAAGGCAGACATGCTCACAGCTCTAATAAATGATTATAATCTCAATCAAGAAGGCAATGGGAGTCGTCCTTTACGGTTAGTGTTAGAGAGAGAGAGAGAGAGAGAGTCTATTGAGAGGGTGCACCAACTTAACCCCAACAAGGTCGTTCGTGCCTATTGTTCGGGTCGGATATGGAATATTGGGCCCCGATCCTCTGGCCTAGCGGGTCGCGTTGTCCCAAAAATTTTAAGAATGAGAGGATGAATTGATGAATAAAAAAGAAAGGGGGAGAGAGAGATCTCCTTCATTGATTACCCACAAGTGACGAAGTGATTCCCTAAAATTCTGCCTTCGATCACCCCCCTCTGTTTTTCTTCTTTTTCTCCTGCAGAGAATAATGCCGTTCCATAATGGCTTCGACGAATAAAGTGGTCCTTTACTTGTATTAATTAAATAGTTAAATACCCTTTGTACAACGGCGCTTGGCTGCTGCCGCTTCTTAAATAAATATTAACCTATGGGACAGGTTAAATTCCAAACCAAATAGTGTATTATTATTATTACTCCCTCCATCTCTCGCTCTCTCTCTCTCTTTTTTTTTATTTTTTTATTTGTTCGCTTTATAGTACACTCTCCTTATTATCTGTTGGGGAAAAAAAAAAAAGGAAAAGAGGGCAGAAGAGTGGCGTTGGCATGCGTAGGCTGGTGCTTGCATTTGGTCTGCAATTGCTATACTGTACCGCACCACTCAACTCAGCCTAATAATAAGAATACGATTCTTAGCTTTGCTCATTTATATATTTTACTTTTTATATTATTTACCTATATATATATAAACAAATTTACTCTCACCACGACAATCTCCTTGATTCTTGCGCGAGCAACTCATCGGTTTATAGCTAGGAGAACGTCCTTTCTTGTAGGGTTGTCACTCAGCATTTACTCCCATGACCGCCTTTTTTTTTAACAGCTCGACACATATATATTAAACTCTGCCAAACATTAACCCCCTTTTACTTTTGCTTTTTTACCCTTGTTTTATCACACATAGCATTTATTTTACTTTTATTATTCATGAATAAATAAATAGATAATATTATAACATTATTATATATGAGGAAGAGGCTCGTACGCCTCTTTATAATTCATGATAATGAAATCTGAATTTCGATATATAAACCATTGAATCAGGATTGGTAGAAGGAGCATAATATTTCTTAATGAATTTTAATCTTCTGATACATCCTGTAAGATTTTAGTATGCGCATAGGTAGCCACAGCCTGGGAAAGAATATCAACTTCATGGGATTACTTACTGACTTGTCTTATAAATTCTAACGCACGATGGTTGTTGATGTCAGTTGACTCAGTTTGGTTTTAAGATAACCTGTACGTGTAACATAGAAAGAGCATCTGATTGATGACGACGGGCAGTCCCCTAGCGCCTCTCTGATGTCTAAGACCATCTCCAACGCGACGCTATTTTGCCGCAAAAAACGGATTTGCCGCTGCTCCGGAGCTCCAACGCGGCGCCATCTCCAACGCGACGCTATTTTGCCGCAAAAAACGGATTTGCCGCTGCTCCGGAGCTCCAACGCGGCGCCAATTCTCGCTGCATTTTAGCGGGGATGAACAGCGCGACGTTATATTTGGCGTCGCACTGTTCATCTCCGCATTACTGTTTCTTTTTTTTTTAAAATTTTTTTTAAATTTTACCTCATATTTTTGTGTATTTACAACTTGACCCCAATTATTTTATTACATGTATAAAACAACCCTAATAATATTTAAATTTTATAATTTTACCCCAATTGTATAATTTAGACAAAATAAATTATTTTTA